AATAATACAAATTTTTGTGAAAATGTACAGTATATATTAGATTTTGTGTATGTTATATATGTTTATTATATTAACTAAGTGTGTTTTTGTTGTTTAATAGTTTTGTTTATTTATTTATTTACTTATCTAATTGTTTATTTATTTATAAATCTATTTATTTTTTCTATTTATTTGTTTATTTATTTATTTATTTACTTACATGTTTTTATTTATTTATTTATTCTTAATTTATGTGGTGGTGTATATATCTCATTTGAATACGTACGATCCTGTATAGAAATTGAAATTTTGTGATTTTTTTCTATCATGTTGTTGTAAATAAAATTAACATAATGTAAACCACTAAAACGCATTTCACAACACACCGTTAAATCGGAAACAACGTCGAACACTTTTTCAACGGAAGGAAAGAGTATGATAAAATCTTTCAGAATGGATGAAGATGCAAGAATCATGGACTAGATTCTAGTTTACGATTTTTAGTGGAAATATTTAAGATGAGATGTCAAATAAGAACAGTTCTGTTGAGAGTCGGCGCTTTTGTTGTTTTAGCTTTATCATTGGGATTAATAGTGAATTTTTCGAGGATGACACGTCATAATTTGATGGATAACAAACACATACAGTTATTGTTTTCAAATGAAATTAATTACACTGACGAAGCAGTGTCTGTTCCAAAGAAATCGACAGATGTTCAATATAAAACTAATTGGGTTATTATAATGGCACTGAACGATGGTTATTTGGATTTCTTTCTGAATTGGTTTTCTTCGTACAAACAAAGCAATGTTTTAGTTCCAATAGTGCTGGTCGCTGAGGACAAAGCCGTTTATGACAAGATTAAAAATTTTCAATTCAGTATGATCACTGTAAAAGAAAGCAATAATAGTGAAATAAATAGTACTGTTGTATTTCAGAGTAGAGCATTTATGGACCTGACGTTAAGGCGTCACACGTATGTTTTAAATCATCTTCTTACGGGAAGAGATGTTATATTTTCTGACACCGATACTGTATGGTTGAAAAATCCAGTACCATATTTTACAGGAGATTATGACATTTGGATGCAGTATGATACACCGGAAATACTGTGCCCGGGAACAATGGCGGTCAAAAGTAACAATGAGACGATCGATTTCTTTAGAAAATTAACTAGAGGGTTAGAAACTTATGCCTATTCTGACCAACCATTTTTGAACGATAGACTCAAGAAATCAAACCTACGCATTAGAGGACTAGATAAAAATTTGTTTCCTTCAGGAAAGCTGTATTTCCAATTCCTCACAAAAAAGCAGAAAGCGGAAGTTGTTGTTGTACATAACAACTGGATTAAAGGTCATGACCGAAAAGTAGACCGATTTAAAAGATTTAATCTATGGTTTAATGACAGGACGATTAAAAAGATAAGAAGAAAGACATAGGCGTTCTTTCTCATGACTTTGATCTATTTTCTGAATGGGTACTTATGTAAATAATGTTTGTAAATAGGCAATCAATATATATGTACAGGTGGGGATACATTGTGTGATTTTTTACTATATTACATCATATTACGTCATTAAAACTAATGTTTTTCCTGTGATTAAATAATAAAAACTCTCCTTTTTTTGCATCTTTGACTGGTTTGTAAAAACATTATTTTAGTTCTATCGTATAGGAAGCGATACTTTACTCTCGAATCTATCACTGGAACCAACCTTTACCGAACAATGAGTGTAATGTTGTTATTTTTTAATATCAAGAAAACAACTGATTGCCCTTGTCAGGCTTTGGAGCCACACAGCCATTAATCCTTAGGTGACTAGTCCGATGTGTTACATATTCGGTAACGCCGCCACACGTCTGGTCTACTACACGAATACACAATCCGACCTGGCTCATTACTTGTGGCAAAGAATTATCACTTTTGGTTCAAGCTGTTTCAGAACAATACAAAATACACCCTGTCAAATACCCTCACATTCAAGTTTTCGCATTATATCAATAAAATTTCAACCAGTACGTACATGGATATTTTACAAAGACGTAAAACAAAAACTACTTACCCTTTGATTTCAGTATAGAGTCAGACCAGCTTATCTTTCTATGTTGTTTTCCCAGGCTTTATACTGTTGGCAGTTTAATTTTCGTATTGTAATAATGAAATCCTTCAAACTTTAATTAACTGTGTGAAATACAAATTTCTGAACAAAAGGAAACATAATCGGTTTGATTGAATATGTACATGAGGGATAATGAAAATGAAGAGGAGCAACATCTCTCACGCCTCCCCCCCCCCAGCACCGGCTTGAGCGGTACTCAAAAGTGTAGAAACAACACTGACGTGAAGAACAAATCTGGGCAAACATGTCATACAAATTATATGGGTAAAAGATTAAAAGGATCAGGGATTCCAATTGAATTAATCATAATCAATAATGCAAACTATATTTATGGTGGGTGATCACGTGACATTTATTACGGTAAAACTGGGTCACCGCTAATTGTGTTTGCTATTTCTTCATTATATCTTTCAATATTTGACTAATAAACATACACCATGTGGCCGGCAAATATTTTCTATGTCCAAAGATACATATTTTGCCTATGTAGCTCTTGTACTTTTCCCGAAACGCTTACGGAAATCGTGACACATATTTCTTTATATATATAGAGAAAAGTTCCTGCAAACATAACTGGAAAGGTAAAGGAACTACAATGTAACGTTATATACCATTGGAATCAGCAAATATTTAGTACCTGGAACATAGTATTTATTAAGTTTAAACAATATTTTATTTCAATCAAATATATATATATACGCAATATACTTACAATCAGATGCAAAAAGGATTGAGTAGAAAGCTAAAAGTTTTTTTTAGAAATTCTCTCCTTGGAATGAAGGGCATAATGACAAATTGTCGTTAATGATTACATTCATATAAAAACAATAATCATATTGTATTCTTGTTATTCTAAAAATTCAATATCTATCAAAGTACAAAAATGATAAAAATGAAAAATAAAGAAATTAAGATACACATTAAGACACTTATTAACATTATTGGACAAAAAATGGTAAATTAAGTGTTTGCTAATTACTCAAATATTGAAAGATATAACTAAAAATTAGCAAAAACATTACCGATGATCCTTTTTACCATAATCAAATTCAACGTGATCACCCACCCTGATATATATACCGGTATATAAAATGAATAAAATGTCAACCTGTACACACATCAATATTTACACTATTTTAAGGCATGTCATATTGCATACAAGCTTTAAACTTAAAGTATCAACCAAATTAGAAATGACAGAAAAAGAGACATGTTATTTCTAAAGCCTACTAACAGGTAAGAAATGTATTGAATTATAATTAAATTATAATTATATATATGTAAATATTTTCTAAATTTGTACTCACCAAAATGTGGTCAAGGTTTTTCCAACATGAAAGTAAAAGAACCGAACCTCAAATTGTGTTAGATAAAGGCATATGAAGTTTTGACAGAATATCCTATGAAGGTTAAGTGCACATACTCAAATTTTGATATACATAATAGTTGAACATAGGTGTAAAAAAGTTGTAACATTTTCAAGAAGATAATTTTACAATTTTGAAAGGTGGAAAGTATTATTAGAAATAAATGAATATGTACAAAGACAATCAATAATCAGAAATGAATTTAGAAAACAAGTTTCATTTCCGCTTTCATCTTTATGTACTGATTGAAAAATATTCTCGTATTTGATATATCAACTCGTTTTTATGTTTAAAATTGATATTTATTGTCATTACCATTGTTGTTGTTGTTGTTTTCTTCATTTTCGACTCATTCTTCTTATGTTCGTCATTATTTTAATTATTATTATTATTATTATTTTAATTATAATTATTATTATTATTATTATTATTATTATTATTATTATTATTATTATTATTATTATTATTATTATTATTATTATTATTATTATTATTATTATTATTATTATTATTATTATTATTATTTTTTTTTTTTTTTTTTTTTTATTATTATTATTATTATTATTATTATTATTATTATTATTATTATTATAAGAAGTAAAATACTGTCATGTGGTGATAAGAATTATAATGAATTTAATGGTAATAATTAGAATGATTATATTAATAATATGTTTCTTAAGATACTCTGGATATCTTTAAATCATGTAAAGTTAATGGTTTATTATCAACCATACCCCGCTGTCGAGGTGCAATGTCTATTTATGTGGATATTATTGAAACAACGGTGCACACAAGATCGTCTGTACGTATTTGTAAAGTAAATAAATGTCTTATTGGTTTAAAAGAAAACATACAAGGAATATCCGCAAACGTATTTCTTAATGATTCGATTTCAACATAAACGTCATTGCTACCACTACCATGTTTGTTAAATAGGTAAGTGTAACTTTGATTTAAATGAATAAATAGTATTATGTGTATTTATGTCAACAAATATAAACAACAAAATATCTAACAGAATAAAACCATTTTCGTTTCATTTCTTGAACCATACTACTTACTACTAAGTAAGTTGAAGTACTAGGAAATAATTGGTATTTATTCTGGTCTTGCAAATGGCAAACAATTATATTTTTAACAAAAACATGGTTGTTGCTTTTCCTGCACCTCAATATTTTGTTATCAAAAAGTAAAAGGAATAAATTTACATTTATTGTATTATTAAGGGATAGTAAATGAAATATCAATTCAAATTTTCCTATTAATTTGTTGATTTTAGGTAAATGAAATCATTGGTCTTTATTCAAGTCACGAGATATTTAACAACAACGTATATTTTTTGCTTTTCCCGCACCTAAATATATCCTCCGCTTTTCCGTATTTTTCTACTTTGTAATCGTACAGTAAAATAAATTTGAATCATTGTATTTATACGGGTCTAGGAGATGTACATGTTTAACAAAATCATGTCTTTTGCTTTTCTGCGCCCAACTACTTTGTTATGTTCAGGTAAAAGTCATATTTTTGTATAATTGTGATAATTTAGGTCTAGAAAATGACTTAACCTAACACATGTGATTTCTACACCTCTTTACTGCACCACCTTACTTCTATGTTTACACTAAAAGAAATTGATTGATATTTTATTCAGCCAAATGGAATTAAAGCAAACAAAACTAGAAAGAAATGTTAGAAAAGTTTAATTATTGTCAGTTGGCTCATAACATGTATCATTAGCAACGGATATACTGATGTCATTATATATGTTAAGATATCTATTGATATTGTTAAGTTTTGAACACAGTTGACAACTAGAATGCTGAATCGTATCCCACTGTGTGTACCCCGGGATGTATTTGTCTTTATTCTTTAAGTATGATGTATACACTTCTTCCCTACTGCTGACATTCATCAAAAACCCGGCTAATTCCTTCACAGATTCAAAGTCTGATGTGTCTATAAAAGTTGACTTGTCAAAGAAATTTGCATATTTAAACCCGCCCCTTACAATAAGAATGACATCTAAACCGTAATAAGTAAAGAACTTTTCTGTTATATAGTCTTCACAGAAACTGTTTTCAAAAGCTAAGTAAAATTTATATTCCTGACTTATTGTTTTCATTATGTAACTTGCATTTTCTCGCTTCCTGTCATGGGAGCATCCCCCAAAAATATCTACATCGATGCCTGCTTTAATTAGACTAGAAACATATTCTTCCCGAAGACTTTGCGTATTGCAATGACTTACAACCCAAGCTGCCATTTTGGTTTTTCTCCTGTAGATTGCTTTGTAATCTAAATTTGAATTACCAATTCGCCTTTGTAATGTTCTTATAGGCCTAAATATGTCAGCATTTAGGCGGTAACTCCAAGACCAATTGAATGAATTTCTGAACATTTCATCCCTGAACCAAAATGTTGAGATACGTGATGGGGGTTCCATTTGAAAGAATACCCATACTTGATCAGAAGAACGATATTTGAAAACAGAAGATATATTACTAGGTAGCTCTTCTTTAGAGTTAAATACGAGTGCATCTGACTGTCTGGTGTGATTCTGGTACTCCGTCATCTTACAGTTTTGGTTCACACATCGATAACGTAAAAAGCTGTTTACGCTTGGTATATTAAGCCAGTATGGCTTGTTGATCCACGATATAACATATTTCTTTGTTGATCGACTTTTTGCAGGTAAGGTGAATACTGATAGATCTACAAATCTTCTATCATCATGATCTGACGTTGCCGATCCACCTTTGTCCTTATCAATTTCTTTTATATTTGGTTGAAGGTCCGTCTTATTTCTGGTTTGCCCATTGGTGCCAGTGAATAGTGTTATATCTCTACATTTTGTCAGAAAATCTGGTAGGTATACAACGGTAGATATTGTATAAACAACAGGAATAAGACTTATCAGAATAACCTTTCTTTGCTTTGAGTTGAACCTGCAACTTAAATTACACAAAGGTTATACATAAGGTCTTTTTTTTCGCAAGGAATGTTTATTGTGTGCAAAACATCACTCACGATTTATTTTTATTCCAAGGAAATGTATATTCTTCAGTCTTAAAACATTTCCAAGTTTGTCGTCCGATATTTCAGATTTCAACACCTCTAAATTTGTTAAACTTATATAACTCTATAATTGCTTGTTTGTTATTTTTTTAGTTCTTAAGTTCTGTATTTGATCATATGCAGTGTGTACGGTTAACTACAAAAACAATACGCTTTTGAAAACCAAGAGAGTGTTCTAAAGAAGTTAGAGAATTTAGAAATATAATAAAGAGAAAATTGTTTAATGGATTTGAAATTATTTATGTTCATCAGTCATTACTATACTCCCTATTTGCTGATGCTTGAGAAACGAAATTCAAATCGCAAGTGAGTGGCAAAACTCATTACAATGAGTATAACCGGATGTGCTAGTAAAAAACATCCTGGGGAACCAAATGCTAATCAAAGATACCAGATGCAGGTATTATTAAAATAGTACTTTTAAAATGGTACTCCTAAAGGAAGGTCAAAGGTAATTTCATTATATACATGTATACCTCTCACTGCTTTATAAAGGGTAGAGATGTAATAATAGCCAAAACAACGGCACACAGGATAACAGCTCAGTGGCATGGAATGCGATTTTTGTTTCTACCTTGTCGTATTTGATCAGATTATTGTGAATAACATATATATATGGAAGAATATTAGCAAATGCACATCTATATAAACAAATGCATTTGAAAAAAAAAGTAATTATATCTTATAACAATCCGTCGACTGCAATAACAAGACAAAAGACAAGCAGTTGGACATCGTAGGATTGGCTGCCAAAATTTGCTGAGGCCGGTGATAAGGAGCGTGGACATAAATTTGTTAGCGCTCACGACTGCCGTTCGTGAACAGGCTCAATCAACCCTGCAACATTTTGTTTTTCAATCATGCTGTTAAATTTGAGTTTTTAATGTTTCAATTTTTTACAAGAGATATTAGACAGTGAAACATATCTCAAGTCACCTAGCACGCTAGCGCCCGGATAAGCGTTGTTCGGTCCTCAATATTAAAAGTTTTGGAATCATTGAATCCAGCCAAGGACAAGACAAGTATAACAAGCAATGAGGTAAATGAAATATCGGGCAATTGTTTGCATTTTACACTTGCTGTTAAAGGTTGATGAAATATATAATTAAAGAATTTGTTGTCGTTTTGCTTTTTTTAAATAAATTGTCTCTAACATTTAATGAATATACTCTAAAAAAACTAACCTGCACTTCATTATTCTGTTAAATCCTTTTTCCTTTTATATATTTTACAAGTCTGCAACACCAATTAAAACACTCTTTATTTTTATCAGTTCTTCAGTAAAACATACACATTATGATAAGGAAAAAAAACAGAATCATTATTTCGATATCACAAACATATACGTTACCACAATTATACAATAATATATTAAAGTTTCATTTATGTAAACAAGCTTTCTTACTTTCTATTACCTATTAAATAAGGTTAAATTTTAACACATTTTAGATTTGATATACTCACGACCTGATATATAATATTTATTTGTTAAATTGGAAAATTTTATAGAGAAGTTCAATGAAAAATTTGAAATATGTCACGTATAACTCGTCGTTGAATCTCTTTTTATATATTCAAACATGTTTTTAATTTATGCATAAAATTTCGTTGTGCTGTTTTCTTTCATATTTTTTTTTCAAAATGTTTATTTTGAAATGTTTTAAAGACATAATCTGGTATCATTTTATCTAAAATAATTCGGAAACAATAATAAAATAAATATAAGATCATTATAACGGGATAATTATATAAAATTATCGAGTTTTGTTTGGTGTTGCACTTGTATTACTATTCATGTATATATAAATGCTATCGAATAGGATAGATAATTTTATTGACGTAAACAGTACAGTTTTTTGTCATACAATTGCATATACATAAATATCATAATTTTATCATGTGATTTAACATACAGTGAACACAATTTACATTGTCAACATATTGTTTGTGGAGGATGAATAAGATGTTTACATATATATGAATCAATATCATAAACAAAATCAAAGTGAAGTAAATTCCTTCCATAAAATTGGCAAAGTTAACAAAGCAAAGACTTTCTAAGTATAAAAGCATTGTAAATAAATTTGGAAAGATTTCTAATTATAGCTTGATTATCACTCTTAAAAAGCTCTGTAAATTTAATAACATTTGGTCTTCTATAAAAATATGCTTTGATATATTTTATAATAGGTGTAAGTCCAATACTGAATTTATTGAAAATTATTAATATTAAGGTTATATTATGCGAGCCTCTGGCAGGCATACTATTGTTTTATTCAATGAGTTTAATAAAGGCATTAATGAATCTACACGAATATTTTATTCTGTTTATCACATAACCAAACTAAAGACTGGTTAAAGTGGAAACAGAAACAGTTTTCATTGATGCGCTTATAATGTTTAAGATTGGTTTTTAAAATACTATGACATTGTTGTTCTGATATTAATTTTGAAATATTTTAGATTTTTATTTGGAAAGGATCTGAGATTATCTTATGATATTTTGTTTGCAACAGGACAATCAAGTTTCAAAAAATAAAAAGTGATGACTTTCATTCAGAGTTTTAATTGCAATTTTATAAATTGTACGTGAAAATTACTGCAGTGAAGTTTCAATTAAGCTGGAAATTTATGAAAATTTAATCTTTTACTGTGTTCTGTAATATTCGACTCTTGGTAATGTTTCAGTTATACTGTACTATTGGTATTTTTTTCAGTGATATTGTACTATTTGTTTTATTCTAGTGATATTGTAATATTGATATTATTTCAGCGATATTGAACTACTGGTTTTATTCTAGTGATATTGGACTATTGATATTATTTCAGCGATATTGTACTACTGGTTTTATTCTAGTGATATTGGACTATTGATATTATTTCAGCGATATTGAACTACTGGTTTTATTCTAGTGATATTGGACTATTGATATTATTTCAGCGATATTGTACTATTGGTATTTTTAAGTGATATTGTACTATTAGATTAATTTCAGTGATATTGTAAAAGCGATATTGTACTATTGGTATTATTTCAATGATATTGTTCTTTTGTCTTTTTTAGTGACATTGTACTATTGATATCATTTCAGTATAATACAACTTATATAATAAAAATGGTGTAACGGACTCTATAAAATACAATTTGCATGTGACATTATTGTGCTGCCATATTTATATCATTTCTGTGATTAAAAGCTTCTTTTAGAAACGTTGCTAAATTACATAATTCTTTTTCGTCATTGCTATTAAACAATTCATAACATGTTGACGAATGTTTATCCTAACCTTTTAAAACGCGGACAAAAATGAATAATGCCAAATTCTAATACTTTTATGCTGAAAATGTTTCATTGTAAGAGATTCATATTGTTGATATCTTTTTTCTATAAAATTTGATATTTGTAATTGTATACGTGGGTAAAAAGAACGGGTGTGTGTTACACTTTATCAACTCATTTTTTTCTTTTGCCCTGTTTTTCCTCCCCAAGTATGACTATTAAATATATTATATATGCCAGCATCAAGCGTACACTTCCAGTAGTTGTGTTTCTATTTAACAAATTAGATATTATTATGTACCATACGTAAATTTAGTATTTTTGTTGAATAAACTAACAAATTTGTATACTTTAACATTTACAGTCACAATTATTCTTTTAATTCGTTTTCTTTTTTTTTTCCTTTTTTTTTCTTTTCATTATTTTTAGATTGTGCAAACTAATAAAAAAAATGATATTTTTTCTCAATGTTGGAAACTGCAATATAATACCAGATTGTTTTGCATAAAACAAATAAGAATAATTTTGCATATTTTTTAATCTTTATTATTTTACTGAATTTGTTGGTGTTGTCTCTTTACAGATTTTTCCCCAATTTGATGACCGTCGGCATTTTTAAATCATTTCAATTTATACATTTTTGTTAATAATAAGCAACCTGAAATAAAACAAGTATTTTTCGGAAAATCGATATTGTTTAAAGATAAATTGAAACATAAAGGTTACTTAAATGTACAAAACTAAAAATCTCTATAGTGTTCAGGTAAATGAATTAGATAAAAAAGGTGTATTCTTCCAATAAGTAGCAATAGACAAAAATGTTATATATTTATGTTCGTGAAGTTTGCAGCCTAGCTGCCTAGCAGGCTGAAGAAAACTAAGAATAGCACAAACATGAAAACAGTCGGAAATACATTAGTAGCACTTCTTTAGATTATTCCACGCCTTTTTTTCAATATCGTGATCTTTAATTTTTAAGATTTTGAACTTTATCTTAATATATTTGTTTTTCATTCTGACGCTTCGCAATTTGTGAAGTTAGCAGCCTAGCAGGATAATACAAACACAAAAACGGTCGGAAATGAATCGGTAGCAAATACTTAGACCATTCCACGTGTTATTTCAGTATTGCGATCTTTATTTTTAAAATATTGAACATTGTTTTTTTTGTGTTTTTTTTGACACTTCGAAATTTGTGAAATTAGCTGCCTAACAGCCTGCCAGCCTAGCAGCCTAAAGAAAATTAAGGATAATACAAACATTAAAACCGTCGGAAATGAATCGGTAGCATATACTCAGACCACGTCTTATTTCAGTTATTTTTTTTAAATATTGCTTCTTTTTTTGACACTTCGAAATGTGTGAAGTTAGCAGCCTAGCAGCCTAGCAGCCTAGCAGCCTGGCAGCCTAACAGCCTAACAACCTAGTAGCTACTAATGTATTTCCGACTGTTTTCATGTTTGTACTCTTCTTAGTTTTCTTTAGGCTGCTAGGCTGCCAGGCTGCTAGGCTGCCAACTTCAGCCTGCTTGGCTGCCAACTTCACGAACATTATATATTTTTATTCCCGAAAACAAAATGAAACGAAGCTTCTACAATAAACTTCGT